TCATTGATGAATACGTAACGGCGGACCATGAATGCCGAAATTTTCTGCAACAACAACCTATTTAATACTGAAGAATATTCTTCATCGCTTCTGTTGACTGCGTTTCCTTCGGGATCTACCCGATACCAATCGAAACTGTTATCTATCTTGATTTTCACTCGATTTATCTTTCTAATTCCACGTGTCATGCAATCATTCGAACACATCGTCAAATGTAGAAAAAAACGAAATATACACATTTCATCCGTCGAAGTTGCCAACAATGCGACAAGTATGGACTTGATGATGCAAAAATATTGTATTTGTAGCATAATAACTCATTCAATATCATGCTCTTGCTAGGACTTGAATTTTTACTTTTGTTCTCTATTTGTTTAACAGTGTCCAGACACTTTTCCTGATTGTTTCGTCCTTCGTGTGTACTTTTTATCCTTTTAAAAAAGAAAAAGAATTCTTGTTAGCGTAGGATAAGATTTCTCAAATTCCATCAGCTTGTGATCAGGTGAAAAGTAAATTAATCAAAGGGCAATACCCAAATCATTACATAGAAAGTTACACCGGTAGAAGTGAGTAAATTCTACAACAGATCGGATGTGGCAATCTGGACTCGACTTTGAACGCTATCATATAAGACGTCAAGCTCCAGTCATTAAGACGTCGAACTTAATGACTGAATCTTGACCATAGTCGGACACTAATAAATCACATTTCTGTAAGGTCTCGGAATTAATTGTAATTATTTGCTTGGATTTGCTTACCGGGCGAACTTATTAGCATGCTCAACTCTGAACAAGTTTACTAATCATCAGCATGCTCACTAGACACATATACGTGGCAACTTGCAAAAGATAGAACTTTAACTGATCAGAGCATTGTTCGCCACTTCAGCACAAACTTGCAAAACTAACAACTGTCGTGGGTCGACGATACGCATCTAAACAAAAGTAATTTAACGAACTAGAAAGCTTTTACACAGCCTAACACCTAATTACAAGGGACCAAAAGGAAAAGAGGCCACAAGAAAAGCTCTGCTAAGTATTATACGTGCAAGAGTCAAACTTATGAAATTCTTTCATTTAGTCTAGCAGCTGCAGCCACAGACGCAGCTACTCCACCGGGATAAGTGGTCAAGTCTGGATTATTCCGAAGCTCCGCCTCCATCACCCCTTCTGCATCTTGCCTTGTCGCTGCCTTATCAGCCGGTAGTTTAGCAGTAGCACCCTATAATTAATTCACAACAAAACACAAATACCAATGATTCACTTCAGAAATTGAGTACTGCAAATCGATCACAAATTAGGGTATATTCCAACCTATCTAAGGTTGTTTATACGAATTATATGTACACATCCCGATATTCAAAAGAAGTTAACTCATTCTCCTCAAAATATATAGGTAGTATTTCAACATGTTGAAACATATAACCTGCTTACCTTCAAATTTCTTAATCTCCCTTATTTTTACTTCATTCAAAATTCAGTATTCAAAGAACATAATTGAACAAAATAGTTTCTTTTCGAAATTATTGATCTCACTTTTTAAGGAGAGAATTACACAAAGTTCTAACTCTATATTCAAAATTCAAAGGATTAAAAAAAATTTTTTACTTAACGAGGTCAACAAGCTAGCCGTTTTAGAGAGAGTTCAAACGGACCAATTATAGTTTGAAGTTGAGATATAAAATACTAAATGAAATGCAAAGCCATATTAAAGTAACGTCTACTCTTACAGTCAAGACATCGTTAAGTTTGATTTTATCCACGTCTTGAGTCAGTCCTTCATTCACTGACGCTGCCGACTGAGCTGTGGCCGCTAATCCTCCGGGACTTACGATGCTAGAACCGGTGGCCCTGACTTCTGCCGCTTGTATTGCGGCTGCATCGCTCTGCTCCACCGGCTTGTCCCCAGCTGTGAGCGCCGTCGCCGCCAGAGCTTCTCCTATTGTTATGGGTGCTTCCTCTGCTTCTCCTATTGTTATGGGTGCTCCCTCTGCTGCTGCTGTTACGGGAACAGGCTCCACATATTGCCCCAATACCTGAAACTCTCAAATCATGCTCTACTTATTTGTCGTTTACAATATACAAGGATGCTTAATAAAATTTTATAAAGTATACAAACTTGACACTTAGGAGAACAAACTATAATAAATATTTCGACTTTTGAGTAAACTTAATATGAAGAGACGAGACGAATCTTCCAACTAATGATAAGGGAACAGGAAGATGGGCAATATTTCAATTTTCATCAGTGACAACCAGCGTCATGTGACGAAATTAAAGAGTAACATAATAGTTTGACCTCAACGACAAGGGCGATCATACAAAATCTCTGTTTCATTTGGAAGGGCAGGGTTTGACTAAGCATGGATTTTAAAGAAAAAAATTTAGAACCAGTCATCTTAAACTTAAAAGAATTGTTAGATATTCAAATTGCCTTTGTTTTTATAAACAAGTAGTAGTAAAAAACGGAATTTGACAGAAAGAGAGACCTGTCCAGCAACTGATTCAGTAATCATACGTCTACCAGAAACAGTAGTTTCGGTCACGGTAACACCTTCATCACCAGCAACAGGAGTGGTAGCGTCGTGGCTAATAAGCCCACTTCTTTCGTTTTTGGTAGCAGCAGACTGCATAACAGCAGCAGGACCACCCTTTTGGGTCTGACCAAAGACCATGGTTTCAGCACTCTGCATCATCGCTGCATCTTGAGGTGCAATTGGCTGCTTAGCTAACTCCCCTCTTACATTAAATACGTCTCCATATTTTATGGCTTCCTGCTGCTCTCTTTCAGGCCTTTGAGGTTGCTCTTGACTCATCTTTAAATTTCTGTTTTCTTGATGCTTTACACTTTTACAGTGTGTTGATGTTATTTTCTCTACTTACTAAGGAAGGAACTCATTTGCTTTGATTATGTACCCTGCTGTGCTGATGGCCGAGGAAGTTAAGGAAGTGACACCTTGCAACTCTGTGCGAACGTGGCAGACTTGTAAGCAGGTACGATGACTCAGATTTTGTACTCTGAATGTTCTTGAATAGTCAAGATATCTAAGTTACAAGTGTATTTGCTGAATGCTAAACTGGATTATGACAATTGTCACCTCACAAAGAAATCGTGTATGGTTTTGATTATTCGAATTATTACTACTCTTCATTAGCAGCTGGTTAATAAAAAATCAATTGATGATAGCAATCAAGGTTATAACTTTAATTTGTTGTATAACCAAATCTGATAAATTCCTTTTATCTTTAAAAGCATGTTTGAAAAGTCATCTTGGAAATGAATTTGGGTGTAATTAGATGTAATTATGCAGTTTGGCATGTTTGTTTGGCCAAATAATTACTTGGTCAGCATGGAATTAGGTGTAATTGGAGGGGTGTAATTACACTCTCCAATTCTGAAGGGGAGGTGAGAATTGATGGTAATTACACTGTGTAAGTACAAGGTTGCTTTTTAGTTTTTCTTTCTTTTTTGTTTTTATTTTAATTTATTTTCTTTATAAATTTTTATTTCTATTATTTTAATTTTTTAATTTTATTTTACTTTTTAATTTCTTTTGAAATTTTAAAATATATTTTTCTTTGTACATTATTATTTCTCTACTTTTACTTCTTCTGATTCAATGTAATTGCATATATTTTATTTTTTATTTATTTTATTATTTTAATTTTTGAAACTACACCTCATAATATTAAAAATAATGAGTCATTAACAAACTATGCATATAATGAGTGATGCAATTAAAGTGAAATTTCGTTGTTGAATGTGGTTATAAACTTATTATGTTTCCTAATCTTAAGTTGTAGTGGAACTTATTATTATTATGTTGGAATTTGACATATGTTAAACTATTTTATTTTATTTTATTTTATTTTCGAATTTTGAAATTGTGTTATATTCATGGTTCCAATTTGCTTGTTTTAGTAGTATTGGCTCACATTGCATGTTGTTCATTTTTTAGTTAGAATTGATAGATTAGTTTTTGTTATGACATTATATTTATAAATATTAATTTATTTTATCAAACATGAATTCCATGATGTTCTTACAAGACGTATACTTTTAGTTTTTGTAAGTATCTAAACTAAATATTATTAATTTGAAAAATATATACAAATTATTTTTATAATATTAGTTATAAATATATGATTACCAACTAATGTATATTCACCAAAAAATATACATCTTAAATACCGAATATAATATTATTTATACTCATAAAACTTTGTAGACATATATTTATTATATTAACTTTTAAGTTTTAATAATTATTTTATTTAAAATTTAATCTAACTATGTAATTACACTTGTGCAATCAAACAGTAAACTTGTAATTATACTATAATTACACTATGACAAACAAACAGGTCGTCGTAATTATATAACTGTATAATTACTAAGTTGTGTAATTACTACCCTAATAATTACGCCAATTCCAGTGATGGTGACTTTCCAAACAAACCCTAAATCAAGTAAAATGATTTACGACCAAGAGTTAACTCGATTGTCACGTAAAGCGCCCACAACCCGTGGTTACATGCCAACTCTCTTTCACAATTTTTGTTACACGATTTGGAATAGATTAAGCAGTTACAAAAACTATATTTGCCAATTGAGTAAGTAATTTTTGATGTTGCAGTTTATCATACAAGCTTTATGAATTTAGTGGGACTCAATGGCGGTGCCAGAATTTTCATCAAGGGGTGTCAAAATATAAATAATTAGATACATCGAAAAATCAAGGGGAGTCAACGTATAGTAAATATACAAAGAATAAAAAAAATTATCTAGCAATATAGTGTAATTTTCCGGCAAAGGGGTATCGCTTAACACCCCTTGATTCAATGTGGCTCCGCCACTACATTGAATATGTTGTTGTGCTGCTATATCTAAAAGTCTCTTGTCCATAAGGTGATTGAACTAAACATAAATCTCTCGGTGGCTATTGAACAACATTGGCCATAAGGCGTAGAGGACACATTCGGAAACAGAGGAGCTGTAACTCGTTCTACAACTACTTATTCCACTAGTATTGACTTATTAAAATATCGATCTACATACATTCGTTGCGGCTGTCAATTTGGCTTCATTTCTTACCATCTGTCACAGGCTACAATCAGAGTACAAGCTTCTTGGAGCCAATGCAAGGAGAAAGCAGGTTAATAAGTAAACACCACAAGTATTTTCATAATAATAAGCAATTTCACACAGCTTCATCATCCAAGCTAATGTTTCCTGAGGGTTTACTATACACTAAACTCTACAGCTACCAAGTACGCGGAACCAAGAACTTGGTCATTGTTCACGAAGCAGGAGCCCCACTGCTTACCTCCAAACCATTTCCTGCAGATTCAGAACCATATGTCATTGAATTGTAACTGTCACTACAACTAAGTACCGCTCTCGAAATCTTTACCTAATTTAGTGCACAAAAGAGTTTGATATACTAGCATAGACATCCAGTAAGAGATTCAAAGAACATCCTTTATGTTTCTCTTCTTCTCTAAGGTTGAGTAGATGGCCATCCGTTTTCATTAACTTAAAAAAGACTATTATCCCGGAAGATGTGTGATATTTGCTTACATAAATAAAAGGAATATCTCACCATCTGGATCAAAGAAGAAAACTTGTTTGGTCTTGCCATCTGGTTGAGTCTTCTCGTGAACTTCAATTCCTTTCTCCTACACGGCCAAGTTAAGAGAAAAGCAATGATGAGCAGAGATCTATCAGTCATCGATAACCCAGAAATGAGAAAGAAACGAGTCTAATGCATCTAATCTTTGCCAAATCCATATCAAGTTTTGCTTTTGGTATTGACCATTGTAAGTTTTCATTAATAAACAAGTTCTAGAACATAGACACTGATCTTCAATTCATGCTCACATTAACAATATATAAAATAAATACAGCTGTCAAATGGATATGCCTCAATTAGCTATCAGCCTATCCAACTTTCAATTGCTTCACTTCAGCTCACATTGGAAAAAAGGCTAATGCATTTCTATTAAATACACACTATAAATAAAACAAGAAAAACTTAAGGCAAATAGTAGGCAGAACAGCTCCAATCTCATTGATAAACCTCAAAGAGTCAACAATCGACATTTCTTCCTATATCATTCAAAGGAACCTCGTCTAAACTATTTTATTTTCCAATTTCCATTGCAAGAATTAACATCATCTAAAGGGGAAAAGAAAAGAAAATGGATTAAAAAAAATATACCAAAAATCATCAAAATAAGGATGATATCTGCACTTTGACATCACATTTAACATAATCAACAGAAAATAGGAAATCTAATACTCCCTCCGTTCTAGTTTATGTAAACCTATTTCTTTTTAGTCCGTTCCAAAAAGAATGACCACTTTCTAAATTTGAAAACAATTTAGTTTAAACTTCCAAGAAGCTTTCATGACCACACAAATAATCTGGATGCTTTTTTGATTTGCTTAGGACCACAAATTTCACAAGTCTGTACTCAGTCTAACACGTTAACATAAATTGGAATGGAGGGAGTAGTCAAAAATAAAATTCCTGAAACAAACTTTTTTCTTTGAATCATAAACAATTACTTTAGGGGAATAATAAACAGAAAGTGAATTTAAAAAGGGAGAGATTCAGTTCAACCTTGAGAGTGTGAACAAAAGAATCGAAATTGGAGACGGAGAAGCAGACATGGTGACCTCTAGGCAGATTCTTCGGGTCTGCTACGGCTGACGTGGCACTCCAGGGACCTTCTGGAAGCTTCGTACTGGGGTCCCTCTCGATAAGGTGAAGGTAGAAACTAGATGGTGCCAGCTTCAACCATATCACATCAAACTCAAATCTTGGTGCTTCCACTTTCTCAAACCCAAATATCTGCAAAAATTCCCATAACCAAATTGCATCAGACAATCAATTATGTCTCATTTTGTTTTTGTAACCATCTATAAGATATGATATGTGTTTATACTTTAGAGTTTAGACATAGAAAATTTTATGATATGAAAATTAATCTATAGGGTGAAAACCTCAATGTAAAATTGGGCAAGGCGTTTGATATCAGAGGATTCTCGGGAGACATGATTAAGGCATGTTCCTTGTGCTGCCATTTTTTGTTGTTTGTGTGTGTTTAGAGAATTCTACTGCACGTTCCTGTAGTGAGAAGTGAGGTGCTGAATGTATATTTATCTCCTTTGCTTTCTCGACTACACGTGGTCGTTTTTGGTGCTGGGTTGATGGTTGGACTTGAAGTTAAGCCCATTAAAATTGGGTTTCTTTAGATGTCAGAGCAAAAATTTCACGGGCACCTTATTCGATGGTTTCCATTTAGCCTGTATTAAATTTTTAAAATTTTTATAACTAGTATCCGAAGTGCAAATAATTTCAGGCCTTTTTCTTCTCTTTTTCTTTTTCGCTGTGAAAATAAAGGTGGGGTGAATTTATATGGTAATTGTAAACATATTTTAAGGTGGCGATGGTGCTTTATAGTGATGAGCTGTTATGGCTTTTTTTCTTACTACTCCTTAGCGATTTTCCTTTTTCTCTTCCTCTTCTTTTTAATTGCAAAATAGGTTTGGTAGATTTATTGTTGTTTTGAAAATTTATATTGGGGTTTGTTCTTGATGATATTTGGAAATTATATTTCATATTTGAACTCATTCGGAGTAGATTTAGGTGTTAAATCATGTATTGGATTGTTGAATCGAAGAACAAGTTTTTATTTCTGGGCAATTTGCATTTCAGACCTATTTGGCCTTAAGTGCATCTGAAGTGCAATTTTTACACTTCAGACCTATTTGGCCTTAAGTGCATCTGAAGTGCACATTTCAGACCTATTTGGTCTTGAGTACATGAAAATATTTGTTGTACTTCAGGCCTATTTGGCTTTAAGCGCATCTTAAGTGTAATTTTTGCACTTCAGACTTAATTGTCCCTAACTTCAGACCCGATAAATCGGAAGTTGATCCTAAAGTGGGTAGCCCTGTAAATTTTTGTGCAAAATAGGTAAACTTTAATTGTGACCCCAAAACTAAGTATACATACAAAATCCCCGATGTCAAATCACAAGATTACCTCTTTAATTTTGAAGTTAATTTTGTATGAGTTATATCGTCCTATAATTCCTTGTCACTGTTCCTTGAGCCGAGATTCTATCGGAAACACCCTCTCTACCTTCACAAGGTAGGGGTAAGGTCTACGTACACAATACCCTCACAGACCCCACTTATGGGATTACATTGGCTTTGTTGTTGTTGTTGTTGTATCGTCCTATAAGTACAATTCGCCTCGTAAGTAATTTGGTGTCACGACCCAAAATCCAACTAGTCGCGATTGCACCTAACCCAACCCACTAGGTAAGCCAATTGACAATAACCCAATTCATCGAAATCTAATAAGACATAAATAAAAGAAAACATCTGAATCTTAAACATTTCCGAAGGACTGGTAGTACAAATCATGAGCTTCTATGAATAGAATTTACATAGCTGGTATGAAATAAATACATCATCTGTTCGAAATGTACATAAACAGATTTTTATGAATCCAAGGCTACTATGAACAAAAGGCAACTACTACCAGAACGCAGGTATGTGATGACCCAAAAGGTCATCTCCTATTTTAGAACTCAATTCCGTGTTTTGAGGCCTTAAAAATCTTATTTTATCTCTTCTCGAATTGCGTTTCTAGTCCGGGCGTGTATCCGAAAAGCTTTTATGTGAAAAATTGATGAAATAATAATTTTTGGCCTAAAAAGTTGATTTTTGTCGGTTAACGTTTTGGGTAAGCGGACCCGGACCCGGACCCGTGTTCTGACGGTCCCGATGGATCCGTAGTAAAATATGGGACCTGGGCGTATGCCCGGAATCGAATTCCGAGTTCCCTAGCCCGAGAAATGAATTTTTGATTAAAATTGAAAGACTGAAATTATAATGGTTTTAAGAATTTGGTTAATATTTGATCTTGTTGGTATCGGGATCATATTTTGGTTCCGGAGCCCGGTACAGGTCCTATGATATTTTCACCTTATCTGTAAAATTTGGTGAGAAACGGAACTGATTTGACGGGATTCAGACCTTCGGTTGACGAAATAGAAGTTTTAAAACTTTCTTGAAAATTTCATGCAATTTGGTGCTAAATTCGTAGTTCTAGGTGTTACTTTGGCGATTTGATCGCACGGGCAAGTTTGTATGATGTTTTTAGACTTGTGTACATGTTTGGTTTGGAGCCCCGAGGGCTCGGATGAGTTTCGGATAGGCTACGGGATGATTTACACTTAGAAAATGTGGTATAAGTTGCTGCTTCTGGTGTACATGTATTTTGTGCTTCGCGATCGCGAAGTGTAAGCTGGGCTGGGGATGGATATAATCTACGCGAACGCAGAGCACTGGGAGTTTTCTCTCCGCGAACGCGAACGGCTTGACGCGAACGCGTGGTGTATTGGAGGTGGGATGGGAATCATCGAGTTGTTCTACGCGAACGCGATCCTAGGCTCGCGAACGTGTGCAACTATTCGTGAACGTTTCCAACTCTTCACGAACGTGAAGGCCTTTCTTGCCGCTGTGCATCGCGATCGCGACAGGTCTCTCGCGAACGCGATGAAGACTTGTCTAGTGTTTTAAAACAGATTTAAAAAACGGGACTTCTTCCCAAATTTGATATTTCATCACTAGAACTCGACCTAGGGTGATTTTTGAAGAGGGATTTCAACACCGAATCATAGGTTTGTGTTCTTTAACTCGTTTCCTTCAATTTTCATCAACACCCAGTAGATTTCTAGTCCTAAATCTTGTTCTTTCATGATAGAATTAGGGATTTTTTGAAGAATTGAGGGTCTTTATAAATTAGGGATTTAGACCTCGATTTGGGATCGGATTCCGGAACTAATTACATATTTTGGCTCGAGAGTGAATGGGTGATTGGGTTTTGGTCCGAACCTCGAGTTTTGACCAAGCGGGCCCGGGGTCAGTTTTTGACTTTTTGGGGAAAATGTTGGGAAACTTATAATTATGTATTGAAATGATTTCTTTAGCGATATTTGATCTTATTAAGTTAATTATGACTAGATACGAGTGGTTCGAAGGTGGAAACTAGAGGAAAAACGGTAATTGAGTAGTGAGTGGCATGTGGATCGAGGTAAGAGTTGTGTCTAACTTTGACTTGAGGGATTAGGGATCCCCGACTGAATTGCTATGTGAAAATCCATGTGTGTGGTGTATATGTGAGGTGATGAATACCTATACGCTGCCAATTTATCTGTTTTTACTGTTCCCTTCCCGTTCTTAATAAATTGTTCCTTGTCTTAACTGCTACCTGTCTTATTGATATTTCCATGATTAGTTGCTACTTGTCAGATATTGTTTTCGTTGTTAAAAGTATTGGATATTAAGTGGTTTCGTTGTTTCATATTATTGGTTTACTGGTTATCAGTATTTATTAGTATACTTTGGATTAATCTCGCTGAGTAGTATAACTCGAGTGAAGTTTTCATAATTTCACCGCTTTTTGTTTGTTTTAGTTAAGGTTAAATACTGTGGGAAGCTTTGAGCCAAATTGTGAAATTTCTGTTCTTATTGTGTGATTGGTACTGATATGGTGGGATCGGGTTGCACGCTGCAACAGGAGGAATAAGGGTGATATATTGAGGAGGAATAAGGGTGATTTGTTATTATATGGTGGGATCGTATTACGCGCCACACCATGGGGAATAAGGGTGATAAATTGATGAGTAACAAGGGTGAATTGCTATTGTACGGTGGGATCGGGTTGCACGCCACAACAGGAGGAATAAGGGTGGGTTGATACGGAGTAATAAGGGTGAATATTCATATTGTTACTGATTATACGGTGGGATCGGGATGCGCGCCGCATCAGTTTATTGTTTATGTATACTTTTTCTGCTGTGAATTTATTATGTAGTTTTGTATATCACTTAAGGATTCGTTATAGCTGGGTACTGATAAGATATTTGAATTTCGTATTCATTTTTGCTGCAAGTTATTGTTTCATTTTGTCCCATACTTCTTTTTCGCTTTATTATATACTGTATGTTGGTTAAGTTGTAATTGCCCCGCCGTAGCCTCGTCACTACCTCGCGAGGTTAGGCTCGGCACTTACCAGTACATGGGGTCGGTTGTACTGATACTGCACTCTACACTTTCTGTGCAGATTTCGGAGCAGGCAGTGGCTGATTGAGAGATTGGCTGCAGGTTCATAGTTTGGGGACGCCCCTTCTACATTTCTACATTTTTGTTTTTCCCTCGTTTCAAAAAGCTGTAATTTCTTTCAGACCGATATTTGTAGTAATTCATAGTATGTTCGTGGATTGTGACACCAATTTTTGGGTAGTGACAGTTATGGTATTATTAATAGTATATAGATAACAGGTTACATACGTACTTCCGCATTTATTTCAACTTGATTTAGTTTTGTTAATTTTTAATCTATGAAATGTAAAGGAAAAAGGTGAATAAAACTCTAATGTTGGCTTGCCTAGCGAGTGCAATGTTAGGCGCCATCACGGTCCCGATGATGGGAATTTCGGGTCGTGACAAGTTGGTATCAGAGCACTAGGTTGCCTAGGTCTCACAATTCACAAACAAGCTAGGTAGAGTTTGAGGGATCGGTACGGAGATGTTTGTTTTTATCCCCTAGAGGCTATAGAGTTTAGGAACAATTTCACTTCTATTCTTCTTTGTCGTGCGATTTGATCTCTCAATGCTAATTGTAACGACCCGACCGGTCGTTTTGAGCTTTTGCACTTTGATCGCCAGTTCTCGGGCATGACTTGCCCCGTGTTATGTATTATGACTAATGTAGATCATTGGTTTTGGTTAAATTTGGAATGAATTTGAAAGAAACAGTCTTAGTTGAAAGCTTTAAATTTGGAAGGTTTGACCAAGAGTTGACTTATTTGTATATGAGCCCGGATTGGAATTTTTATGATTTGGTTAGCTTCGTTGGATGATTTATGACTTAGGAGCGTGATCGGAATTGGTTTTGAAAGTCCGGTGTAGAATTAGGCTTGAATTGGCGAAGTTAGTATTTTGGCGATTTCCGGTTGATAGGTGAGATTTTGATCCGAGGGTCGGAATGGAATTCCGAGAGTTGTTGTAGCTTCGTTATGTCATTTGTGATGTGTGTGCAAAATTTCAGGTCATTCGGACGTCGTTTGGTTGGGTTTTTTATCAAAGGCGTGTTTCGGAAGTTTTAGAAG